TTACGGTTTTGTTGTTTTTTTTTGTGTGTGTCGTCCAATTGAATTCGTATAGAAACCGCAAGCACAACTGACCGCAGAAAGTTTGACTGAACGTTTGATACGTCCGATGATTGTACGATACGTTGACGGCCTTTAGATAGCGCGCGAGTTCTCGCGGAGGTCGAAGATTTCCAAAACTGTCAAAGTACACAGCATCGTTCGCCTGTTTCGCATATGCAACCCAATGCGTACCCGGGCCCGCCGTGTTATCGAGATTCACGATGCCGCATTCCTCACGTCGCGCTTTCACGGGTAAATCGTCGCGCATAAACACCCCTCGAAAGTGAGGTATGTGTAGTTTACGCGCCGCTCGACTCAATTGTTCGTTCGTCGTGACGTCATACATCGGTAAGTCGAGCGCCTTTAGCGTCTCCGTCCACGTTTTTTTTTTCGTTTTACGTTTCCTACCACTACCACCTCCGTATTTTTTGTACGGTGCGAGGTACAGTCCGCGACCCTCCATCGTTCGATTGTGACGTTGCAGCTCCTCTAACTGGCGTCGCGCGGCTTTATTGTCGTTCACGGCCTTCGCTACACCAGCGGCTCCACCAATCAAGGACCCAAGGACCCCTAGTATCGGCAGAATGGGCAACAAGCCTCCGCGTTTCGCCGTTGGCAATACTCTTTTCCCCCTCTTCCTTCCTCTCTTCTTTTTCATACCCATTCCCAATTTCGTTTTTACCTTCATAGCACCCCATACAGCGGTCGCCGCGGCTCTCGCCAAAGGTCGCGTTTCTCGCTGTGATACGATCGCGCGCTTTCTCAGCGAGGACTCGATCGGCGGCGTGACGATCGACAAGGTTGTTGCTTCGCGAATACGCAATGTCGTGCTCGCGACACGCCGCGTCTAACGGATTCACCCCTCGCTCACCGCGCTGCAATCGTTCGTCTAGACGAGTTCCAGGTCCACAAAACTGATAACCGGGCACATGCAGTTCGAACGGAAGCGTGTTTATCGCTTTGTTCAACAGACCAGCGCCTATATGTTTTGCACGCTTTGACATTGAGCGCAATCCTTAACGAGCGGTGGTGGACCGTCAATGTGCGTATCTTGCCAGGGTTGGTTGTAATGCTCGCGACACGCGCGATACCCTTGCACCTCGGGATCGGTTTTCAACGTAACGTCCAGTTTATCCCACAATCGGTCCACGTAGTTGCCAAAGTAGCGTAGCAGAACGTGTTTCGACACGAAACATAACTGTTCGGGAGACCACTCGAGAATATCGCGCCTGTCCAGCAATGCCAGCAACATCGTGACGACTGTGCACGAACCGTCGAATCGGCCGTGTATAAATAGAACGACTAACCGACGAACCGGTATAAACTAGAGCGAATCGCTGCGCAGGCGCGCAGTACTACGTGTGAACGACACAATGCGATTCGTGTCGCGAGTACCAACGATTGGGGTGCACAATCTTGACCGTAGAACGCGATCGATGTCGGAGGTAGCAGAGAAAACGCGCAGACGCGGATCCTTGTTGCCTAACACAATACGCTGCATTATCTGCGGACCATCCAATTGCGGTAAAACTAACGTGTTGATAAGCCTATTGGAGAGTCCACACGGTATACGTTTCTCAAACGTGTACGTGTACTCGAAATCCCTGCATCAACCCAAGTATCGATACCTTGAACGTTTGTTCGATTCGATAGACGAGATCGGCTATCATGCATTCTCGAATAACAGTGACGTCATACCCCCCAGCGAGGCGCTTTCCAATTCGATATTCATATTCGACGACGTGGTATGCGATAAGCAAGATACAATCAGAGAGTACTTTTCCATGGATCGACATTCGAGAATCGATTGTTTCTATCTCTGTCAGACGTATGCCAAGATACCGAAACATTTAATACGCGACAATGCAAATCTTTTGATCCTGTTTCGACAGGATGAAACTAATATGAAACACGTATACAACGATCACGTGAACACCGACATGTCGTACGAACACTTTCGTGCGCTGTGTCGCGAAAGTTGGCGTCGAAAGTATGGCTTTGTGGTCATAGATAAGGACAGCGCACTGCGAAACGGCAGATACAGACGTGGATTTAACGACTTCGTCGTACTGTAGAACAATCAGAACGATGACGTATAGCTATGGGGTTTCTGGACCACGTGGATTTAACGACTTCGTCGTACTGTAGAACAGTCAGAACGATGAGTACCGCCGAGCAGGAGAGAATTGTGAAGGAGATCGCTAAAACGCGCGCGTCGATTCGTAAGAAACATCGCGCTCTGAAAACCGGTATCATGAGGGAGGAGATCGCTCTGGAAAGACGCTTTAAGCCGATAGTCGAACCGTTGAAACGCATCGCCGAACGCGTCGAGAACTCATCCGATAGAGCCGTTCTCGCGAAGACAGCGCGCAAGGAAAGTGCCCACGACTACGATTATGACAACGATAACGACGACGACGACGATGACGAAGTGTTCAAAGCGACAACTCCAGACGCATCATTGCAGGGGAAAAAGAAACATCGACTGAACGAGACCGCAATCGGTTCCACGCCAAGAGAATCACGCAAAATGCTTGGATCTACACCGATAGAGTCGCGAAGAACTATCGCACCGCTAGAAAACATAGCAACGTCAGTCCCGTACGTGGAACGGGAAGAAGAGGTGTACGAGACGGACGAGACGCCGATCTCGCTCGAAACGTCCGCGAGAGAGACTCTACAAACGGAGCAAGATCACGAGGCGTTGCACAGTCAATTGGGACCATTGGGACAAAAATACATAGGCGATCTTCTCGGTGGAGAGAACAAGCACGTGAACGATCACGTTTACGGAGTGTACGTCAGCGAGGATGGAACTAAACTCGGTGACAAGCGATTCGACGTGAACAAGGACGATTCCATGATCATCGATGGAACGAGGTACGTCGGTACTCCTGGTCTGTACGAATTGATTTTTCGACGACTGCCCAACGATCTCTTATACACCGACAACGATTTGCAAACGTACAAAAGTATACTACTGGCGACAAACGCGCACAGACGCGGTCGCAGCGCAAGTATGCCGATACTGGGTAATAAGGGTTACAAGTACAGTATGATTATCGGTCCGCTCATTCGCGGTGATAAGAAAAGAGGCGCGGGTGCGACCCGCGTCCCGTCAGCCATGCGAGTAACTGATAACAAAGTAGATTACGTTCACTGGGACGATCCTAACGAATTGGCAAATCGTTAGCTTCGATTGCTCGATTCATCTCGTCTCGCCGGCAACACCGCTCACGACAACGAAATTCTATCGATACTCGAGGAGCTTCGCGAGGCTGGATTCATTATAAATTAATCCGTTTTCACCGATTGTGTCAGCAGTACGGTTCGCGCATTCGAGGGCGTCATGTCTGTTAACAAATTTGGCATGTCTCGTGAGAGACACGACGACGACGATGCGATCGCTCTGAACGAAGCGCGTTCGTCGATCGTATCCTTGCGGAAGTACGTGCTCGACAATACGTTGAGGCTAAACACTGATGGTGAATACGACGGACGTTCGCGTACGTTACGACGCATAGGCGAACCTCATCACGCGAACGACGCGACGAGTAAAAATTACGTGGATACCACGCTTCGCGCGCTCTCACATCGAGTGGAAGAGAGCGCGAAGACATTCGGAAAGAGGATCGGAGAGATACAAACAACGTTAGAGAACAACCAGTCTACAGTGAACCAAAGTATACGGTTATTGGATGAACTGCTACGGCAAAGCGTGACACAAATCGCGAGTACTCGAAAACTCGTGGAACTGCAAGAACAAACGTTGCACGAGGTGAAAAGGACCCTCGGTGAAAAACTTGCGAAAGAGGTGGAAACATTGATACTACGACTCGAGGATAGCGACAGCAGACACCGATGGGCAATACAGCAGCATAACACAAAACTAGGAGAATTAAAAACTATACTAACCAATATACAAACCTGGAAACAAACGCATTCGAACGATGTTGCAAAAAGAGACGAATTCATCCAATCGCAGTTTGATACGTACAATAGAACGATACAGGAGTTAAAAGAAAAGACGCCCGACATAGATATGACCGTCGTCGATGTTGATAATACAGTATCGAATCTGCAAAAAGAAAGTGCCTCGCACAACGGACAGTTACTTATTCTGCAAAACGCTGTGAGAGAATTGATAGCAGTGTTGCAACTTGCCACTCAGCAGCAGCACGGAGAACATCCTCGCTTAAAGGAACTTCACGATCTTTTACAACCGAAATAACACATCAACTATATACCACCAACAAAGAAGACGATGAGTATCGAAAAACGAATACTCGTGGAAGAATTGCACGCTCCGGCGCGGAAGAACTTTCCACGCCGACGTGTCATAGTGCGAGGATACGACGATCTGTGGCAGGCCGATGTGGTGGAAATGCAACCGTACTCGAGATTCAATAAGAATCACAAGTACATACTGACGATCATCGATGTGTTGAGCAAGTACGCGTGGGCTGTGCCACTCAAAAGCAAGGGTGGAAAGGAAGTAGCCGCATCCCTCTCCCGCGAGACTCTTTCGCGAGAGCAAGCGGTGTCCGACAAATTTGCAAACGGACAAGGGGAAGGAGTTCTACAATGCCGACGTGCGAGAAGTATTGCAACAACGTCGCATCAACCATTACTCTAGGTATTCCGTGATGAAGGCCTCGGTGGTGGAACGATTCAATCGTACGCTCAAGAACGACATGTGGAAGATGTTCACACTCAACGGATCGTACGTGTAGATCAATGAACTGTCGAATCTGTTGTCGAGATACAATCGTCGCGTACATCGAACGATCCGTATGCGACCCGTAGACGTGACGCCTGCTGCTGCCGAGAAACTCTTGAAAACGGTGTACAGTCGAACGAAGATAGCCGCTCCAGGACGATTCAAGATCGACGATGCGGTGCGCGTGAGCAAATTCAAAACGATATTCGAAAAAGGCTACACACCTAACTGGATTACAGAGGTGTTTCGCATCGCCAAGGTACAGCTGACAAATCCTGTAACGTATCTACTGAAAGATTATCGCGGAGAACCAATAGCTGGAGGTTTCTACGAGCACGAATTGTCACGAGTCGCCAACCCCGACGTTTATCTGGTGGAGAAGGTTCTACGTAGAAAAGGCAACGAGACGTACGTAAAGTGGCTAGGAATGGATAATTCGCACAACTCGTGGATACACAAGACAGGAATATTGTAACACTGTATTTATTTATTTATTGGTATGCAATAAAGGTTTTCACATATATTAGTCATGTTGCGGCACCCTGTAATGTCCCCACGGCAACGTGTCGTACGATTCGGGCACGACGTATCGCTTGTCGTCGTGAGGACTGAGAGCGAGTTTCGTTTCGGACGCAGTATACACTTCGTGCAGTCGCGAACGCACACAGTATTGCGATCTCGATTGCTCCGTCATATCGCGCAACGTTCGCGTGAAATCGTCGAACGTTATCGTTCTCTCGACTACGTTTCTCTTTACACCCTTCACCTTTTTCGTATCGCTCTGTCCGAGCACCCTCGCGGCATACATCTTCGCTCTCAACCCTACGAATTCTACCATAATCGCGCCACGATTCTCATCCTTCATCAGACCCGGAACGCTCTTATTCGCGCGCGGCATACCGAACACGTTGTTCTCGGCGTAGTCGCTCGTGTCGAATCTTTCGATGTAGCGTTTCATATCCCTATAAATGTCGTCGCATGCGACAAAGTAGATCAGACTGTCCGTGTCCGTGTACAGTATTCGACACAAAGCGCGGTATAGCGGCACCATGTATTCGTAATGAAACGCGTACAATCGCGTTTTCGCTATCTCCAAGATGGCCATGCCAACGTATATCGGTTTGTTGAGCATCACTTCGAGTTTTCGTAACTCAACGGCCATCAGATCCTCGGAGAACACGCTTCTACTGTGAAAATTCGGCCTAGCAATTAGCGCTTCTGCGCCATACCGTCCATCCCAACGCGTCACAAGACGCACGTCAACGTGCTCGCGCACATTTTCCATGGTCTTACCGTACACCGCATTATTCGTAAGCTTATACATAGTTCTCTGGAATTCGTTATTCGCACAGATCCTAAACCTCGTATTCAATTCGATGTATCCGCGCAGCCACGGCGATTGTGCAAATCGTAAAACGCGATGAATCTTAAGTATACGCATCCCATGACGCACACATTGCTGCAAATTGCGATAGTGTATAACGTAACGCGACTTATCGTGAAGCGTCGCTAATAGTTTATCGGTGACCTTGCCTGGAGGTGCAGCGCGCAACGGACAAAACGGAAGATCCGCGTGAGCGTCGTGGAGTTCGCGCGGATACGAAAGATCCACCTCAAGAATGTAACCGATATCGGAATCTGCGGTCACAGCCATTACATCTAGACTCTCCGCATTGGTGTCATCGACCCATTGAAACTGCGCGTACGGCAATGATTCACGCATAGCCCATCCGTACAGATTATTTACGTCATAGTACATGAGATACGTCGATGCTTCTAACGGATCGTGCGACGGAAGATACTTATTGTTGGCTCGCGCGTATCTGTGGGGGCACCTACTCAGACCACCGCGTACACCGCGTTCCACAAAGAGGAGCATATCAATGTCGATCAGCAGTTCGAATCGCACACCTGTGTATTTTAGCATCGCGTCCCACGTGTACCCTGGTAACGTGTAATAATGAGCGGGATCCAAATCGTAACTCCGCATACAGTTGTCGCGAAAATTCTCAAACACATCTGCCAACAGTAGAACGTCCGTTTTCAAATATAAATCACTATACTCGCCAAGATTACCGATGCGGAAACGTCGCCACACAGTGACCGCGTGCTCGTAGTCGTTATCGCTGACGTTCTCGCCAGTCAACGAACTGTAAAAGGCCTCGCGGGGCGGTAATTCTGTCTCGCGTAACCGATCGACGCTATCGACGTACTCATAAGGAAACACACCCTTGCGCGTGAGTATCTCGAAATCGTCGTCGTCGAGATTCGAGAACGCTGACCGCGTTTTTCGCAGTTCGTTCTTGTCCAGATACGACACCAATTGCGCGAGGCTGGCGCTTAAAAACTTAAACGAGTCTACAAATCGCAGCTTCACGCAGTTGTGCCCCTTTCCCGACGACGTTCCCCGAACGAGTTTCGTAAACGAAATGTACGTTTCTTTGGTCAACGGTAACAATTCCACTTTACCCTCGAAACCGTTGGCAATCTCTTCGATAATGAAATGCGCATCGTAACCCGAAAGATTGTGAAAAAACACCGGAATTACGAAGGAATTGTTAAAATTTATATTGCAACGCGCATGAGCCGGACCCCTGTAACGTCCAGTTATGTGACAGTGGTCGCGAACGCGCTGATCACTCGGCTGGAATGGCTCTCTGCATATGTGACAACGTTCCGCGTTCCAAAAGCTACGCATCTCATCTGACGTAAGCGACGTCATACTCACAACCGCGGTCAGAGTCCGCTTCGCGCGATGCGCAAGATCGTTCAATTCCCGCGCGAACCACGCCACGCAGTCCTCGCCGCGATACGATTTGTACGTCGTCTCCTCCCCGTCTCGCACACATCGCACGTAATAGCCAACGCTAAACACTGTATGATGTTGATAGGCAAATACACTTCGCGATACACACTCGCTCTCCTCTCGCTCCTTCTCCAAGACGCACTCCAAATCTGCGTATACCACGTACGGAAGTCTCTCTTTTCGATCGTAGTGACGAAAGCTGAGCCACCTGTTGTCCTCGTTCGGAAAAACAATCGCACAGTCATTCATCCTTTCGCAATCCACCATGTGCTTAGACAATCCTTCACTGGAGTGAAAGTAATGCAGACATCTGAAAGTAATTTATATATTGTTATTATTTCACACTTTACATGTACTATCTCTCTCGTAATACTTACCGATCACAAATGTACTTCTTGTTTTTTCGTTTGATAACCTGACTCCCGACCAATCGCGAAAGATTCCTTATCCACGCAAAATGGCGAAACTGTAAGCCGTATCGCGGATTCGATACATAGAACAGATTTACGTGAACATCTCTTTTGCGTTCGGTAAGAAACAGCGGAACGATCGCTCCACCCGGTTTGTCCTCCCTAGTGGTAAACACGTTGACTGATATATCGTTTAGCCGTTCGAATTTGTTGATTTGTCGCAGATTCATAGGAAAGGTTATTCCATCCAGCCTCAGCACCGTTTGATAATCAGGATACCGATTACATCTCGTGGCATTAATCATGGTAGGATACAGACCCGCGACCACCGCCCGCGCGAAACATGCGTTATCCCTCGATCGTACGTTCACGACCGCTTTCTTCTTTTGTACCTGTGGTGGCATTTCGATCCAACATCCCGCGCGCATAGGATTGCACATATTTACATTGATCATTATATTCAGAATGCGCGACAGCGCCCACCCGCTGTCGCGCTCCTGAAACTCCTCCAATTTTGCCAATATCGTCTCCGTCACCGTATCGTACCATTCGACCAGATCTGCAGTACGAAACAGCTGTCGATTTTTCGTGACAATGCTCTTTACAGCGGTCTTTTCAAACGCAACGAATTTCCCATTGAATACCGTGTTGACTTTCACACAGTTATGTCTTTCCAAATTGTCGCGTACCTTCTCCATCACCGTGTCTCCGACGTCTTCGAGAAATTCTCTAGGCTCGATGTAACGGAAATTGATTACCGCACCGGTGAATACCCGTCTCTGAAACGCAGTCTCTATCTCCACCCATCTGAATCCATCGTGACCGGCACCCGCGCGAACTACGCGACCTCGCAGTTCAATCCTCGCTCCCTCTAACCGCGCTATCAAAGCGACAAGGGAGTTGATCGTTCCCGTACTATTCGGACACCTGCGACACTCATGCCTCAACGATCCCAAACACTCCTCGCATCGACGATCCCACGCGCGATAATCGTCCTCATCAACGACATTCGCCGTGTTCTCGATCTGCTCGCTCGCTTCAGTTTTTCCAGACATTCTTCGCGTATCACCCTTTGTTCAGGATATCTGAATTTCACTAGTTCTTGAATACGTACTTTTTCCTCATCGAGACACCATCTATTCGACAGTATTCTATTCATATACGTCTTCCCTCGTTTACTGCACCACAGCGTTGCCTCCATCCATAACTTTTCACGCAAACAATTGGCACCGATTTCTCTCCTCGTATGATAGCTCCCGAAACTCCATCGCGCATCTCCCTTCACCACATATTCACATACGGCATACTTTTTGTTAAACAACGTTTCATCCTCATCTGCATCGCTATCGTTTATCGACGTGCTCGAGGATACTCTCTCGTAGCACCGTATATCCTCCTCCTCTTCCTCTTCCTCTTCCTCTTCCTCTTCCTCTTCGTCGATACGTTCTCTCGTAAAATTAGTGGATCTGCTCATATCAGACCTCTACGGTAGACACGATACGCGATGCGACCAACGCTCGATCGCTCGCGCTTTTTATTCCTCCTGCGTCGCCCACTGACGCTGGGGGAGCAACTTGACGCACATACATGAAAACTGAATAAAAAAACACACATCCTTATGACCGTATGCAGACCACTAATCGCAAGGATATTGCGTAAACTCTACAACTCGGGACACTTACGATGAGAACTAGTCATACCCATGAATCTCATATGCTTGACACTACTTTTTTTATATCATTCACATCCAGAGAGAGATGTTATTGTGGCGATAAAATGACCGCAGACCTTCTCGATCATTATACTGACATCACGCGCATCACCGCGCGCGAACCTGCGTTCGAGCCCCGGCGAGCCATCGTTTTTTTTTTACTATTGTAGCGATAGATGACCGCAGACCTTCTCGATCATCCCATAACTCAGAGGTCCGTGGATCGAAACCACGCTCTGCTAGTTCTTTTTTTCTTCACGTTACTTGTACATAAACAGATATTAATCTAACTTTTTCGTTTTTTCCGCGATTAAATTTTTTCATTCTTTTGTATGATGATAATAGGGATTGGGGTCTCATGTCAGCGCGGTAGTGGGGAGGGAGGTCTCATCACCGCGCGCCCGTGGTAACCGAGGACGCAGCAGCGTGCAACTTATATACTCGATTCTTTACCATGTGTCATCGAGTGTACGCGATAGCCGCATGCGTTTGACGTCAGACTGTCGACCGCGCGAGCCGGGTTCGAGTCCCGGCGAGCCATCGTTCTTTTCCGCGATTAAAAAATTTTTATTCTTTTATGGAGGTATTGGGGTCGGGGGGAAACATGCGGCTCGCGCGTACATGACTCACTGCCTTTGTTACCCTGTTACGCGATGGCTAACGCGCCGGTGGTAATGAGGGACGCCGCGTGGCGGCGTGGGGGAGCGCGGGTATGCTGTCGGGGCGAAGGAAGGGCATTGCCCCCAACTCCGCGCGGACCTTTTGTGGAGGAGGGTTTGGACCCCACCTCCACATGGGCCTGTGTGGAGGGGGCCTTGCCCCCACCCCATGTGGGTGTGAAAATGGGAGGGGCCACCCTCCCCCCACCCCATGTGGGTGTGGAAAGGGGAGGGGCCACCCTCCCCACCCTATGTGGGTGTGGAAAGGGTGGGGGTTTCCCCCACCACCCCGGCAGCACACCCCCTCCCCCGCGCCCCGCGCGGCGGACCCGAGGTAGTAGTAACCTAGCCTATCTACTCGTTCCCATAAAAGGGTAAACTTAAAAAGAAAAAAAGTCCTTGAAATACCATCTGTTAGGAAACAGCGAGAACTTATTCAAGGTCCTAATACTTTGCGCGAGACGCTACGTGAGATACGCGACAGCAGCGCCAATGCCGCGTTGCGGCAGAAAAGTGAAAAGGACGCTGGTCTGGTCGACGACGACGACGACGACGACGACGACGACAAAGATGTTTCTTAAGCCAAAATTTCATAAAACTGACTTTGCATTGCAATTGCATTGCAATATCTCCACTCATGGGGCACGTAGGAGAAAAGTAAAAACACTTTTATTATGCAAATCGTACCCAAGCTATCGATTAAGCGCAGTCTCAAGTTCGTCGGATCAGCCGTTGTTGAGATCCGAAAATCTGAGGGCCCGTCAACTCGTGTACTCGCGTAAACTTACACAGTCGGTCTCGCGCGCGCGGTACTAGCTGCGCTTACACTTGGCGCGAGACACTACCGTGTCTCGTGATTCAAAATCCAAAAGTTTTCTGTTCAATGGTTCGATAGTTTATTTTGCCTTAGAACTTTTTGAAATTTAAAAAACGTAGCCTTATCTAACGAGAATCAATTTAAAAGGAATATCGGCATGTCCAGTTTGTATTTGATTTATTGTTTACATATGTAAATAATTTTTACTTTGTATTTATGTGTAACAGATTTTTTTCTTCCTTCCCCGCTACGTACTCGAGCCCTCTTTGGAACTATGCTGGTAATGAGTCCTGCCAAATAAGCGTCTTGAGCATTTTTTCCGCTAAATCGTTAAAGCATGTTATTATTGCTTTCCTATTGTCCATAACAACTTTAGCGAAGCATTTATTTCAACATTTACATGCTGGTCCCGTCGATCTAGCCGGAACAAGCTTACCAGCTGTGTTAATATGCTCTTTTCTTGTAGCTAAACTTTTCTTTCCTATATTTCGCTTCCATTGTTCGGGGTTTTGTTTTTTCTTGCGTTTAAGTGTAAACATACGTAATGTTGCTTCATC